ACACCTCATCTTTACCATGGACGTCCAGTCCCGATACACCTGCATTCCCCATGCAGATGGCCTAAAGACCCTCTGCTTCTTCCTGTCCTGCAGGCCCGACCAGTCCCCCTCCACTAACACCTTCATCCGCTTAGCCGAACTTATCCTCACCCTCAACAACTTCTCTTTCAATTCCTCCCATTTACTACATACAAAGGGGGTGGCCATGGGTACCCGCATGGGCCCAAGCTATGCCTGCCTCTTTGTAGGTTACGTGGAACAATCCCTCTTCCGTACCTACACTGGCCCTAAACCCCACGTCTTCCTCTGTTACATTGATGACTGTATCGGCGCCGCCTCGTGCTCCCACGAGGAGTTCGAACAGTTCATCCACTTCACCAACACCTTCCACCCCAACCTTAAGTTTACCTGGACCATCTCTGATACCTCTCTCTTCTTCCTGGACCTCTCTGATTCCATCTCTGGCAACCACCTGGAAAGCAATATCCATTTCAAGCCCACCAACTCCCACAGCTACCTAAAATACACCTCCTCCCACCCACCTTCCTGCAAAAATGCCATTCCCTATTCCCAATTCCTTCGCCTCTGCCACATCTGCTCCCAGGATGAGGCATTCCACTCCCGAACATCTCAGATGTCATAGTTTTTCAAGGATCGCAAACTCCCCCCCTCAGTGGTCGAGAACGCCCTCGACCGCGTCTCCCGCATTTCTCGCAACTCATCCCTCACACCCCCTCCCCGCAATAACAACCAAAACAGAATCCCCCTCGTCCTCACGTACCACCCCACCAACCTCCCGATCCAACGCATCATCCTCCGACACTTCTGCCATCTGCAATCCGACCCCACCACCAAAGACATTTTTCCCTCCCCACCCTTATCTGCTTTCTGGAGGTACCACTCTCTCTGGGACTCCCTTGGCCGCTCCATGCTCCCCTCCAGCCCCACCACACCCAGCACTTTTCCCTGCAACCGCAGGAAGTGCTACACCTGCCCCTACACCTCCCCCCTCACCCCCATCCCAGGCCCAAGAAGACTTTCCACATCAAGCAGATGTTCACCTGCACATCTGCTAATGTGGTATACTGCATCCACTGTTCCCGTTGTGGCCTCCTCTACATCGGGGAAACAAAGCGGAGGCTTGGGGACTGCTTTGTGGAACACCTACACTCAGTTCGCACTAAACAACTGCACCTCCCAGTCGCGAACCATTTCAACTCCCCCTCCCATTCCTTAGATGACATGTCCATCCTGGGCCTCCTGCAGTGCCACAATGATGCCACCCGAACAGCACTTCATATTTCGCTTAGGAACCCTGCAGCCCAATGGTATCTATGTGGACTTCACAAGCTTCAAAATCTCCCCTCCCCCTACTGCATCCCAAAACCAGCCCAGCTTGTCCCCGCCTCCCTAACCTGTCCTCCCACCTCAAGACCCACCCCCATCTCCTACCTACTAGCCTCATCCCGCCCCCTTGACCTGTCCATCCTCCCTGGACTGACCTATCCCCTTCCTAACTCCCCATGTACGCTCACCTTTACTGGCTCCATCCCCGGCTCTTTGAGCTGTCTGTCTCCTCTCCACCTATCTTCTCCTCTATCCATCTTCTATCCGCCTCCCCCTCTCTCCCTATTTATTTCAGAACCCCCTTCTCCTCCCCCATTTCTGAAGAAGGGTCTAGGCCTGAAACGTCAGCTTTCCTGCTCCGCTAGCGCTGTTTTCATCCAGCTCTACACCTTGTTATCTCAACATTTTGCAATATGATTTAGGAATACACAAACTCTGTAGCTTGCAACTTTGTACTGGCAGAAAGGTCCTATAAACCCAGGGTTGATATTTTTAGTCAACTTGTTCAAAAATTTTGGTACACCCCTCTGGAGCAAGTGGGATTTGAACCTGTCACCTGGTTCAGAGGTAGGGATATTACCACTGCATCATAAGATTCCATAAAACCTAGGGTACTATCAATAGATCAAATTATATCAGCTGCCTGGTTCCACATGCAATTGTGAACCTCATGAACTCAATCACTTAACAAGACAAGTTTATGGACAATTACCATGAAGAAGCCAGAAAAATAATCACACTTGATATTGGAGATTTGGCAACAATGAAACAGACCAAAGAGTTGTGGAATTGAATTGAATTGAATTGAATTGGATTAGCCTTATTGTCACATGTATTCAAATGAGTACACTTGCAACACCATCTTACAAATTACCTAGGTACAGATTTTTCAGCACCAGTTCTCAGGAAAAAAAATTAGAAAAATAAAGAAATAAAAAGTCCAGCATTATAGATCGTAGGAATAAAACAGAAAATAGGGAAATAAAAAATTCAGAAAAACAGTCCCTCCAACCCAGTACACGCTGGCACCTAGCCTCCAGACCCCATCGGGTCTTGACTCCAGACTGCGCCGAGCTTCACCTCGAGGCTCTCAAGGCCAGGAGACCACTCTAGAATCACCTTAATGCCAGAAGTCCATGCCGAGGCCACGCCAGGCCGAAAGATAACCATGGGTCACTGAAAGACCAGCACGCTGGGCCGAAGGACTGCCAATGCCAGGCCAGGAGACAGCCATATCAGCTGAAAGATCACCATGCCGGATCTGTGCTAAGACTCAGAGTTCGAGTTCAAGTTGAGGCTGGAAGCCTGAGTCCACGCTGAGGCCGGGAGTTCAAGTCATTGTCAGGAAGATAGAAGAGAGAAAAAAAAAACACAAAAGGAAAACATAGAGAAAAGAAAAAGAAACAGATGGAGCAATGAGCTCTGGCTGAAGCATCCTACTCTGCCACCATCTTGGAACCTGCTGAACTGTATGTTGGCTTTCAAATATTTAGGATCTGTATCAGGCCTGATACCTCAGAGTTGATCAAAGACTTTAGAACTGTGCTCCGCTAGTAATGAACAAACAGATGCAGACAAAGTAGAATGGTGAAGTTAACAAGCGCAAGGTTTCACCTCCTGAAGGACAGGTCAGGATTCTAGTTTATTCATTCAGACTAACACACAAGTGAGATATCAGGAACAAGAACAAACTAACCAAGCAGATAATCAATAATTTCCAACAGCAGAATGTTCTATCTTTGACCAGATTGTCATTGCAGAAGGGCCAGTGAAGATCCTCGAGCCAGTTTTAATGTAGGACCAGCTAACTGTCTTGTGATTTTAGTCTGTATTGTGCATCTTGGAGAGACATTGCTTTGTGAACACAGACGGAGCAGGATATGAAGTAAGAGGTGATGTCCCATGACTCCACAAGTAATTGCACTGAAAGGGAAGGGATACTTATTTCATAAAAAGCAAAGTACTGTGGGTGCTGGAGATAGGAAACAAGAACAGGTAATTCTGAGAATTCACCAGGTCTTGCACATCTCTGGAGAAACAAACAGAGGTAATATTTCAAGTCCAATATGTCCCTTCTTCAAAACTTTAGCAGACTGGAAAAGCGATGTGTTTTATTCTGTAGAAAAGGGTGAGCAATAGCAAGTGGAATAGATGGCAAATGGTTTGATAAACAGTTAAATCGGACTCAAAACGATAATTCTGTTTCATCACAGGTGCAGTCCCCTGCTGAGTTTCTCCAGCACTTCCTATTTTTATTTCAAATAGTAAAGGTGATGCAGATAAAAAATGCAAAGGGAGTACTAATGTAGTGGAAATTTCTCCAAGGCCAGGGCGTTGGTGAGAACACACCTGCAGTACGGCCTTCAGTTCTGGGCACCTTATTTAAGAAAGAATGTAGATGCATTGGAAGCACTTCAAAGAAGCTTTACTGAACTGATACCTTTATGGGGTTTCAATCTTGTGATGGACGACTTTTATCCATTGGAGTTTAGAAGAATAAAGAGGTGATTGTCTTAAATACCCAACTGGTTCACCAATATTCTTAAGGGAAGGAAAATCTGGCCTACATCTGACTTCAGATTCACAGCAATATGACTGAATCTTAGGTGCCTTCTGAAAATGTTGAAATAAATCACTCAATTGTATCTAATTGCTACAAATGCTGAATTCAAATTGCAACAGCTGTCATGGTGAGATTTGAATCCAGGGCTGCTGTAGCATTTACCTGAGTCTTTGGATTGCAACCCCAAGACAATGCAACCACTCTCGCTTCCCCTGTGAGAGTTTGCTGTGTGTAAATTGTCTGCCATGTTTCCTTACAGTACAAACATATTTATATATCTAAAGTCCTTCACTGACTATTGGAGCAGGGAGGGATGTGAGATTTGAGGATATGCAATGAACAGAAGGAACGATTATGTTGCCACAGGACAGAGGAAATGGTGTAATGACAGCAGCAACAAACAGTAACGATTAAACAGATGAGGGCACTTCAATGGTAGCTTGATTCTGGATCTTTCTTGTACCTGTTGCTGAGAACTCTTCCAAGTGTTAGCCCTACTGATAATGCACTCGGTACTCCTCTGCTTTCCTAGCAGTGAGACTACTTCATTTCCATCAACAGCAGGTAATGCTCACAATAAACGATAGTCATCCTTTGTTTTGCTGTAACAAATGGTGCTATGGGAGCATATATATCAGGTTTTGCCAGATAATAGCATGTATTCCACTGAACTGTGGGCAGCATCAGCGCACACACTGCAGAATGTATTGTAAATAGCAGCAAAGGTATTAGTGGCTAAACTCAATAGCTATAGGATTTCCCCACCTCCACCCACCCAAACAATCTTCCATTCATCCTTCAGTTTACAGAATTCAAGAAAAAAAACAAAAATTTGGGATCAAAGCATTTCTTACTGCAGAACTATTTAACTTAGCAATATTCAAAAGTTTAATGATAATACTTATTTACAATGAAGTGTTCACTTGCTTTCCAATGGTAGAAATACTACAAAATTTTATTGCATCCAGTACCAAACCAAAATGAATAATAGACTAATACGTGAAATGGATTCCAGTAATTCTTACAATATGTTTTAAAGAGTTAGTCAAGTTCCTTTTTATGAGTTCTTCTGATTTCTATCAGTACTTACATTGTCATACAACGCTTGAAGTGTTTCCAAATCCACCACCGAGTTGTCCAGATGTAAAATAGCTGAAATGCCAATGTACGAGAAATATTAACCTATAATGATCAATGTTGTGTTAGACAACACTTAATTCCAATCCTCTTTATCGTTCACAGAAACAGACAAATGCATATAAATATATCAATGGCTTTAAGCCATATGACTTGCTTTACAGAAATAAGTGGAATATTAAAAACCCTTAACTGGTACATCCTATCTACAATGGTTGCTCAAGCATAGTTAAAATAACATAGTGTCTCAATTGCAGATAAACTTATTTAGCTAGTATTACAAGATCAAAATGATTCAAATGAGACTCTCTCTGGCTCTGAATATTGTTACACGTAACACTGTTGCAAGAAAGATTAAGGAATTGCACCCACAAATGTTTAATTGCATTGTCAGCACGTTCACCATCTAATGTGTTACAAATCCTTATTAGCAATCTAAACATACATTGTCTGCTCAGATTTTCTACTTTATTGAGACTTTAAGATAAATAGAAAGGAAGCAGACACATGCTGTGAAGAACTGGTAATTTTATTGGATTCTTGTAACTAGAAAAAACTGTCGCTCAGCCAAGTCTGGCTTTTGAAATCTATTTTGAAGTAATTTAAGGCAAACATTTTCCTGTGGCACTATGGTGTCCGCTCACAAAAACAAGAATTTATATACAGAAAGATCATTAGTGTAGCATTGTGCCCATTTGGTTATAATAACCGTCACTGACGACAAAAAACAGATCAGCATCATGCACTTAACAAACTAGCAGGCACACGCATTAAAACAGTTTCTTACTAAATTCATGTACTGTGACACATAAAACGAATAGAGTATTTGGAATCCACATGTTCTTGGTTTGGTTGTATTAATTTACTGATTGTGTGAACTTATGCTATCCTGAGCCTGAAGACAAACTTAATTATTTTCGAAAGACATTTAGCCTAACCCATCCATAAAGGCTCATATGTCATTCTGCTATATTCAAAGTAGATTCAGTTGGGAGCATTTTCTTTTAGATATTTTACACAGGTAGCCACAGCAAAGCAGCACTTCCTTTGTTTGTTATTTCTTTTGACATTCAGCAAGGAAAATCTGCTTTTCTCCCCTTTGCCAAGACTATCTTTACTGATTTAGTGACTTAGAAAAATCATTCAACTACACAAAAGTCACTTGCCTCAGACTTTCTGGGACCATTCAAATGCAATCTATTTTTTTCTAGCTGGAAATCTTTCTGAGGGATTATGCTTCATGTGGCAGCAGAGGAGAACAAAATTATATTTTCATTTGTAAAGTTCAGAGGAGACTGTCACCAAGGCAGCTAGCCAGAGGAATATGAGCGCAGTGATAAAATCCCTCTTGGCTTAACTCCGTGACCTGTTGCACCAGTCTTTATAGGACATGTCAGCCATCCAAACAGCAATCCCTGGAGGATGTCCCTGGTCTGACTGACTTTCCGTTAGCCCACAATAACTCTGTGATTTGTGATGCACAATTATGATAGGATTGACATACGATTGAGAGACTAGCAGAACCCTATGCCCCACAAAGTCATGAGCAAAATGGTTCTGGCACCAGATCTGGCCTAGGTTCATCAGACTAAATCCCTTGATCTTCAAGGCAAATGCAAAAGAACACATGTTATAAGTTACTCATAACAAAGAAAATATTCTTTAAGCTCTTAGATTTGCCCAGTGTTGGGTCAGCATTTCTGGTCTAGCAGGGTGTAGTGAAAACTAATGCAAAGAAACTTTAAACCATAATCCATTATTCAGATTGAACCCAAAGTACAATCAACTAAAATTGAAACTAACACAATGGGCATGTCTGGTGGCACAAAGCAGGTTTCTTTGTCTGGTAACTGGCAAAACAGACCTAAAGTTAAAGCAGCCACATCGTATTTACTTCTGTCGAGTTTGTGGTGGGCAGGAAGCAAAAGTGTTGAAACATCTGAATGTTCTTTAGATGTAACAACATAAAGTCATGACACATTGTGGTTATCCCAGACACTTTGTCTTTTGATATATAGTTTTTTGCATTTTTTTGTCCTTTCGGCTTTCTCAGTAGCTTAGTAAAAGAATGGTGGCTGATTCAATTGTTCATTCTCCAGTTCAGTACTGAAGTCAAAATATTTTGAATAATAAATGTGACTATGATTTCCTATTAATTTACTGTTTTCCATTAGAAAGTAACAAATGCAAAAGCATTTAAGAAGAATATTGTACTGTAGTTTCATTCCTAGGCAAATAACAATGATTAGTATCCATTTAATTTATGTCTCGGTTTATAGACAATTCAATGCAGATTGTAGATATTCAAAACTGCTTTAGTAATTAATATGTAATGTTGAAATCAGTGATACACTTATTAAAAGGATAAAGCACATGTTGGAACACACATCAACATGCAATGCAATATTTCCAGCCAGACTAGGTCTAAGAAAAGGGACAACTACACATGGTGCTTATCTTGAATTCAAGAAGTGGATATTTCTTTCATGGTACAAATAGAAAATTAAAAGGCAGGAATGAAAATTCAGTGCCTGGATGTTAAGACCTCTCCAAATTCAGACAATCCATAAATAAGCTAAGAACATATGATCAAGTGCAATGTCCAAAGACTGCCAGGGAAATCAATAATAAGGATCAATCACTGCTAATATTGAGGAATGAAATATATGGAAACCCATTAGGTATCCCACAAAAACTAGAAACTGTATTTAGGTAACCCTCGGCTCACCAGGGGATTAAAATACCTTAAATAGAAAGCTCACTGGATACGTGGAGTATTAATGTCATAAAGAGATAGTAAAGCTAAATTGCTAGGTGCTGCTAGGAACAGGTACTATCATTAAGCATTATAGATTAGTGCGGCCAGGTAGTTTGGCAGGAAGTTGGACAGTTAGAGCAAAATACAAAGGCCACCAAGACTTTCTCTTATAATTCATTCATGTGGTGTTGGTGCTGCTTGTGTCTCTTACCAAACAGTGGAAGCATCACTGAACAACAACTGAAGCAACGTGCTGGCCAGCAGAAAAGTTAGAAAGACTTTTTCAGTAACAGAACCTGGGAAGACTTCTGAACTGTCTTTCCAGCTTTTTCCCTCTGCCCATAGTGTGTGTATGTGTGTGTGTTGTCTGTCTGTATGATAATGTATGAGATTTCATGAGCAGTTATTAAATGCTGATGGTTCAATGCAGAAGCCTGGTCCATACTTTCCATCAATCAGGGTCTGAATGTTAGGTATACTGGGTAACTTTGTGACTTTAAAAAATCTTTAACTTTGGTGACGACTCTGGGGAAGGGCTCACTTTCCAGCATACTACCTCAGTGAATCATAACACTGATCAGCTGCCTTCCCAGCAAGTATCCAGTTTCCTGACTGGGAAACTGGGGTGACTTGCATGATGGCTTTGGGACAGACTCAGTCTTGAGGTAATTGGAGCTATTGGTGGAAGGATCAAGGGAATGCACTCCAGAAGCTACCTCCTCCTCTGCCTTTGTGTCCAACCAACATCCCTCAAAAAATGACTGTAGTAATTTTAACAATGTCAGCCAGGTGACTGAGGCTGTTAATCTGGTCCAATCAGGAAGCCCTACCTGACAGATATAAACAGGAGTGTCACAGGTTCTCTTCACTCTGACAGAAGTCTCTGAGGCAGCTGGATCAGTGTCAAGGACTGTCCAAGCGTAAATAAACGGTGACTTGGTGATGGGATACCGGCCTCAATGGAGTTATTTCAGTGACGAATTAAAAAATGACTTACTCTCTGGATTCTACAAAGAGCAGGCCTCAACTGCAGTTCTTGGGACCCGCAAGCTGCTAATTAGCCGGCAGCTGATGCAGACCCCAACACCAGTATTGAAACTCGTGATTGACTGAGCAACAGGCGCTATGTTCACCTGTCAGATCTTAAAGAGCTGACTGGTATTCAATAGGCACAGCTCCTTCAATGCTCATGTTTCTAACAACATTGGGCTTGTAATCATGCGAGGTCTGATTTTAGCTCTTTCACAACAATGCTGACACCTCAAGCTCAACCATCAGGTCCTCCAATCTACATCCCTCAGGATGTACATTAGCTACCCACATTGAGATCTGTATTCCACAGCCTTGATCAACAGCCCCTCCTCTGGTTTCTGCCCGTCAACCTATAATCTTTTAAAATCCTTTCTATCCTCATGCAGCAGGTAGTCTCTAACTTGGAGAGACATTATGCTTCAACCCCATCAGTTGTCACTAGCCAGGAATCTAATGGTCCATGATCCCCACTTAAATCTGAGAGGCACATTTAGTTACATTCAACAGGATGCAAATGTCTCTGAGCTGCCTTCTTAATGTTAAATGACTTCCTGCCATTTTCATGTTGGTCTGTTAGCCGCTGTCTTTCCACTTGCTGTTTAATTCGACCTTTTATTTCTGCCATCAGGATTCCAGCTCACCCGCTCCCGTATAATTTCATGAATCTTCCTTCAACTCATTGCAGTCAACTCATTCACAGATAGTATATTAACTTAGACATTATGTGAATGAGATAGAATAAATAGATAGGTGGCAACAGATTTGTAAAACTCAAATGCAAAGTAGTTAATTGGATTTATCTACCTTGTTTTCATTCTTAATCTTACGAAACATAGATGCACATAAAATATTCTTAGATATTTAAAAAGTAGCATGAACATGTAGAGGATGGACATAAACTGATCAACATATGAAGTAGTATTTTCCAGAAGAGAAAGGTGTACCTGGTACCAACTCTGAAGATTTTAAATAAAATTAAATCTAAGCCATTAAAATGCAAATCAAGTTAGATTCAAATATTTATTCTTCCTAGTAAAGATGAGCACAGATCTGAGGTTGCAAATGGAAGTTTCTCAGAACCAGGATATGAGTGGAATATTTGGAATGGTGAACGATGATGCACTTACTTCTTAGGAACACAGTTAAAGTGGGTGTCTTAGAGAATGCAGAAGAATGTCCCTTACCCTGCACTAAGCAAGCATTTCATTCAACACAAGTAATGTCGCATACATAATGTTGCTGGGATCTTGTATTTATAAAGGTGTTCAAGCAGCCAAAGCATACCTTGTTGAATGTCTTTCATTTCTAGATGTAGACTTGATATAAAAATTCCCACTGCTTGTGAACGCTTGCCATCCAGTAACTTTATAATCTGCAAATTGAAATGGAAAGTTTGAATACCTAAGAATGTCAATATAAAATTGTTCTTGGGATGCATGTAATGCTGGTATAATAGTATTAGTTGCTTACTCCTCGTTATGATATTAACAGTCAACAACAAAGTGAGCAACTGGTGTCATATTTAGGCCAGACCATGTTAAGAGAATCAGAGATAGTAGCCAACGCATCATCCTCCGACCACCCCACCAACCTCCGGATCCAACGCATCATCCTCCGACACTTCCGCCATCTGCAATCCGACCCCACCACCAAAGACATCTTTCCCTCCCCACCCTTATCTGTTTTCCGGAGGGACAACTCTCTCCGTGACTCCCTTGTCCGCTCCACACTCCCCTCCAGCTCCACCACACCCGGCACTTTTCCCTGCAACTGCAGGAAGTGCTACACCTGCCCCCATACCTCCTCCCTCACCCCCATCCCAGGCCCCAAGAAGACTTTCCACATCAAGCAGATGTTCACCTGCACATCTGCCAATGTGGTATACTGCATCCGCTGTACCCGGTGTGGCTTCCTCTACATCGGGGAAACCAAGCGGAGACTCGGGGACCGCTTTGCAGAACACCTACGCTCGGTTCGCAATAAACAACTGCACCTCCCAGTCGCGAACCATTTCAACTTCCCCTCCCATTCCTCAGACGACATGTCCATCCTGGGCCTCCTGCAGTGCCACAACGATGCCACCCGAAGGTTGCAGGAACAGCAACTCATATTCTGCTTGGGAACCCTGCAGCCCAATGGTATCAATGTGGATTTCACAAGTTTCAAAATCTCCCCTCCCCCTACCGCATCCCAAAACCAGTCCAGCTCGTCCCTGCCTCCCTAACCTGTTCTTCCTCCCACCTATCCCCTCCTCCCACCTCAAGCCGCACCTCCATCTCCTACCGACCAACCTCATCCCGCCCCCTTGACCTGTCCGTCCTCCCTGGACTGACCTATCCCCTTCCTAACTCCCTACCTACACTCACCTTTACTGGCTCCATCCCCGCCTCTTCGACCTGTTTGTTTCCTCTCCACCTATCCTCTCCTCTATCCCTCTTCCATCCGCCTCCCACTCTCTCCCTATTTATTTCAGAACCCCCTTCCCCTCCCCCTTTTCTGATGAAGGGTCTAGGCCCGAAACGTCAGCCTCTCTGCTCCTATGATGCTGCTTGGCCTCCTGTGTTCATCCAGCCCTGCACCATGTTAAGAGAAATATGTTTCTTTCCTCAAAAGGCATTTCATGGTCATTCTGGTGCATTTCCAAAAAATATTGAATTCTGTCTGTTAGCAAAATACCAATAAGCATGAAATTCATATTAGCATGATTTACTAATAAATGCATTGGAAGGGTACTGGAAATGGTTGAATTAATTAGTCGATCTCAGGCAGAGCAACAATGACCACATGACCAACAGTTTTAATGCTTTGAAATAAGGAGAATGAGCCCACTAATAGCCATTACCAGTGATACTAAATGGTTGTATCAAGCACGGCTACCCTCTCTCCACTGTCCTGCTCATCTGTTGCATAGAATGTCTTGCTGAGACCATTGGGAAAGATGTGGGCAGAAGGTGGGTGATAATCCCAGGTAATGGAGGAATTCAGGTCAAAGCCTCCCTGCATATGGATGACATCTTCTGCTCGGATCTGCTGATGGTGCAGACTAATGAGCATCAGTGACCAGGTGAATTGGGCGTCAGGAACCAATCTGAATGAACAGTGAGTCCACATTCTTAGGGAACTCAGTCAAATCCCTCCCCATTCAAATGACATTCTGTTTTTTGATTTTTCCTGTCAAAGTGGACAAGTTCACATTTTTGCTTTGTATGAGGAAGTGGTAGATGCAGGTATAGTTACAACATTTAAAAGCCATCTGGACAGATACATGAATGTGAAAGGTTTAGAGGGATATGGCCCAAACTGTTTAAAGGCTTTACAGCCATAGCACATTAAAGGGCTGGAATCTGTTGAACCCCTTGGACTGTTTATGTGACAACGAATGCACATTCTGACGATCAAGAGTATTGAAACTGTGCTCTGTACCTCAGAGTGGAACAAGGTGCAAAAACAGCTATTCATTTCTGTTGCACTTTCTGACAATTTTAAATCGAAATGTTTTTCTTTCTGGCTTTATCCCTGACCTGGAATGATATTTTTCAAGTATGTACATATGTACAAAAATCATTCTGAGATATGTAACAGTGGGAAATGCTGGATGTCAACAAGTTTTGTTGCAGCTTCTTTGTAATTTTCAAGTTGAAATATACTGTCACTATTCATTTTTTGAATATAGTATATCTTTGGGGGAAAAATGTATATTTCTGAACCATGTCAATTCTTGACATTTGGATCAGACTTGTGATGGCCCTGTTGTTTAATGGCCCACATACACAGGCAAGTAACAACCACTTGTGTAAGGTACTTGTCGTGCCTGGCAGCAATAGATGCATACTTCATTAGGAGTTTTACAGTGTTACAGACAACCCAATCCGTACATTGTAATTACATGTCAATTCAAATAAGTGCTTGTAGGTCTTCTTACATGCCACTTTATGGTATGTCTGTGTGTGCAACATGTGGAGATGGTATAAACAGATAGACACTTATTTTAGACAATCAGTCATGCATCAGCAAACCTACAACTTCCGTTTCTGTTTTGCATTAAAGTATAATCCAAGTCATTAAATATAATTAATGTACTGATCCAAACATGTAAAGATTAGTAGAACTAAACACTAATCAAAAGATGGGTTGTGAGATTGCTTCTTAAAAAAAAGAAAAGAAAGTTCAGAATGTAGAGAAGTTTAATGATAGAATTAAATGGGTAGGACTTAGGCGGCTCAAGACCCCAACACCAGTGGAGAAACAAAAGTGAGAAGCACAGCTCGAGTTTAAGGGTTGGTTGTAAGGAACAACATATCAAACTCGGAGTCATGGAGTTCAGGTTGTAGGGTTGGTTGAAGTCAGGGTCTTAAAGTTTTGCAATTTCTAATAGGAACTAAAAGTCTAGGTAGGCCAATGAGAATAGGAGTTATAGGAAGTTAGGATAAAGTATGGAATAGAATACCAACAAAAGAGCTTTGTATATGCTAGAGTTTGTAAATGCTGGTATGTTGGAGGTCGATAGGAGGGACTGAAATAGTCATGTCTGGAAGTGACAAAGGCACTTATGAGAGTTTCAGGGAAACAAAAGCTGAAGTTGTAGAGAGTTAGAATTAATGAGTGATGCACATGGAGCTATAAATGAAACGAAATAACATGGAAGGAGCGAGATGTGGTCAACTGTGTCAAATGTTGAGGAAAAGTCAAGGAGAAGAATGAGGAATTAAATGCTATAGCAACTAAAGATTATGTGCATGACTTTCTGTCAGGTAGAAGCAGAACTTGGAATGCAGAATTTCAAATGAGTTGCAGATAATATAGAGGTGATGGCCTCAGAGAGAAAATGGATGCTGGCAATAAGTGACATTTTTCTAATGTCTACTAGCATGGGCCAAGAAAGCAAGTTGAGCTTTCAGGTAGGGAACAGGAATAGACTGTGGAAGTTAGAAGCAGGTCCGATGGAGAGCACATGGATCAGAAAGGGAAGGAACTTCAGAGCTGGGTTGTCAAAGATCCTACATTTGACGTCAGGGGCAGGAAAGAAAGTGGCACTGGTTATTTCCAAAGCAAAACAGTTCCTCACATAGTTGCTGGAGATGAGATGGGGTAGGGTGAATGCAGAGAGATGAGGAAGGAGGTTTGAAGAAAGGCATTAGAGTGTTAGGAAAGGAGCCAGGGGTTCTCCAAGTTTATCTTGCAATAGTGGGAGGATTTAGCAGAGGAAACCCAACAGCAGTAGTACTTAATATGGTCAAAACTAATCTTGCAATGGATAACATTTTCAGTTGTAATTTGTCAGTGACAAGGTTTTGTGCCTCAGATTTGAGATGGCGGAGGGAGAAAACTAACTGGTGGGAATGTGAAGAGTTTGAGATTGCTTTGAAAGTAGTCAAGACATCAAAGATACAGTGTGTTTGAAAGGGTTATATCTTCAAACAAATGTGTAATACATGCTTCATGCCAGGTAATTCAGTGGATTGTTTTGTTTAAACTTCATTTTCTTCTGGCTCACTTTCATGTGCATTAGTTATCTGTCAAAATTTTGTTAGACTGAAAAGAAACATGCTGTGGTTGGTTCGCTCGCCGAGCTGGTTCATTAGTTCACAGATGTTTCATTGTCCTGCTGGGTAACATCATCAGTGCAGCCTCCGATGAAGTGCTGTTGTGTTTTCCCACCTGATATTTAAACTCAGGCGTCTGTTAGAGTTGATTACCTCATTTTGGTTTTTCTTCACAGTGGTGTACATATAGAGTCTAATTTGACGTGTTTATTGATGGCTTTCTTGGTGGAGAACCAGGCCGCTAGAAATTCCTGTGCTTGTCTCTGTTTGGCCTGTCCTAGGATCCTGGTGTTGTCCCAATCGAACGGTTCTCCTTATCCGTGTGAATGGAGACGAGTGAGTATTGGTCGTGAATATTTGTTGCCAGTTGGTGTTCATGTATTCTTGTGGCCAGTTTCCTTCCTGTCTGTCCAATGTCATGTTTGTCGTAGTCCTTGCATGGGATCTTGTATATCATGGTGGTTCTGTCCATAGTGGGTAAGGGGGTCTTTGGTTCGAGTTAGCAGTTGGCGTAGGGTTGATGTAGGTTTGTGTGCCACTCTGATGCCCAATGGTCGTAGGAGTCTTGTGGTCAGTTCGGATATGTTCTTGATGCATCGTAATGTGACGAGTGTATCAGGGTGTACTGTATCTTCCTTTTGATGTTTGTGTGATAGGCATCATCGGATGGACCCAGCTGTTCGGGTATCCGTTGTCTTTAAGTATTTGGTAGAGGTATTCTTCTTTGTTTCGGTGTAGTTCCGGGTTGGCCACAAGAATACATGAACATCAACGAGCACCAAAAAGACATGACCAATACTCACTCGTCTCCATTCACACGGATAAGGAG